TTATATGTACATATATCATATATACACATATACACATCTTATATATATATATATATTATATACATCTGTATTATGTATATAAATATATATATATATAAATACATAAGTACATATATATAAATATAAAAATCTATGTACATAAATATGCATATGCATAAATATTCATAAATATATATACATATACTTATATATAAAACACATATATTTAATATACAAATATATGAACCGTATAATTGAATAATTGTAACCGGTCAAATACAATTCTTGTATTGTGAAGATATTCATTCTCATTCATACCTTTTCTACATACAATGTAATATACATATATGTGTATATATAAATATATATATAAATATATATATAAATATATACTTATATATATATATATACATGTATATAATATATGTAAGTATATATATATAAACATAAATATATATAGGCATGTATATGAACATGAAAAAATATATACATATATGCAAAAATATAAACATAACATAAATATATACATATATATATAAGCATAATATCAATATATACATGTATATTATGTATACATATATACATATATACATATATACGGTATATACACATAAATACATGTACATACACATATATATGTATGTGTGTGTATATATATATATGTGTGTGTGTACAATGTTTGTGTGCATGTTTGTGTGTGTGTTATTTGTGTGTGTGTGTTATTTGTGTATGTGTAGTTTGTGTATATTTGTGTGTGTGTATGTTTGTGTGTGTATGTTTGCGGGTGTATGTTTGCGTGTGTGTTTGCGCATATGTTTGTGCACGTATATGTTCACGTCTATATGTTTCTGCATGTACATGTTTGTATGTTTGTGTCTATGTTTGTGAATGCTTGTATGTGTATGCTTTTTTGTGTATATGTGTATGTTTGTGTGTGTATATGTGTGTGTATGTTTGCATGTGTGTATATTTTTTATGAGTGAACGTGTGTTGTGAGTGTGAATGTCTGGGTGTGCAAGTGTTACACATTTTTGTGTGTGAATGTGTTGTAGGTGTCTGTGTGTTTGTGTATGTGTCTCCAAGTATGTGTGTACACATGTGGGTGTGCAAGTGTGTGCTTATGTGTGATGGCACATTTGTGTGTATACATATCTGGGCTTGTAAGTTTGCTTCTGTGTGTGTGTGTGTGTGTGTGTGTGTGTGTGTGTGTGTGTGTGTGTGTGTGTGTGTGTGTGTGTGTGTGTGTGTGTGTGTGAGTATGTGTGTGTATGTATAGGTGCGTGTGCGTGCATGCGTGCATGTGTTCGTGCATGCATTCTTGCGTATATGGGTATCTCTCCAGTTGAGTGAGTGTGTGTTGTGGGTGTGCATGTCTGGGTGTGAAAGTGTGTGCACATTTTTGTGTGTGATTGTGTGTTGTATGTGTCTGTATTTGTGTTTGTGTGTGTGTGTCCGTGTATGTGTGTACACATGTGGGTGTGCAAGTGTGTGCTTATGTGACTGCACATTTGTGTGTATATACATATCTGGGTTTGTAAGTTTGCTTCTGTGTGTGTGTGTGTGTGTGTGTGTGTGTGTGTGTGTGTGTGTGTGTGTGTGTGTGTGTGTGTGTGTGTGTGTGTGGATGGATGGATGTGTGTGTATTAAAAAAAATGTATATTTATATATATGTGTATATGTGTGTGTGTGTGTGTGTGTGTGTGTGTGTGTGTGTGTGTGTGTGTGTGTGTGTGTGTGTGTGTGTGTGTGTGTGTGTGTGTGTGTGAGTCCCAGCATGTGTGCATGCATGCAAAACTTGTGTATATGGGTATCTCTTCAGTTGTGTTACTTTATTTGAGGACCTGAGAATGTTCATAATAGTGAATGTATATTCATTATTAATGCAATTAATAACATGATCTAACCTCCTCTGCAAGACTTATTATGTCTGTAGCCATATTCCCATTCTGATCTTGAGAACTTGCAGTCGTTGAATTCTCTTCTGCTTCCTTCAAAAAAACTGAAGAATCTGCAGCATCAATGTCTGAAAAGCATGTAATTTCTTCTTTTTTTAAAATTATCAGCCTTAGTAAGAATCTATTAATTAGCAACCCTGTTTGTTTGTTTTCCATATTCATAAAACAAATCTGAATCTACTTACATAAATACCTCCATAAAGTAAAAAATGACCAACTTTTGAGGTCTCTGCCCATCAAATAATAAAACTACATTCTCAAGGAAATGGTCTGCAAAAAATCTACATGGTATCAGTCCCAAATGGCTGAATAAATGCGAGTAGTTTTTTTAACCCTGACAATAAATGTTGCATACATGATAAGAAAATAATCAAATGGTTCAGTATGCTCCCGAAAGGTTTCAGATAAACTGTCTAACATAATGTACTGCAACCCCCATGTCAAATACAAGAAAACAAGCAAGAAAACAACAAAACACACACCTACCTACCTTTAACCCCTTACTGATGGGTGAAGAAAATTTTTTAAAACTCTACACTTTGGAGATCAATGGCAACGCGTCGACTTTGAGCACGGGATTACATCAAGCTGAATCACCAGCTCGCAGCGCTTTAGCACGTCACTGCAGCGTATAGCCGCACTCCACAGATTGAGCGGTTTGTTATGACGCCTCAGCGCGTGACCCATCAGGAAGGGGTTAAGTAGTGTGTATGTCAAACATAAGTATGTAAGACCAAATACACAATAGCAATAACAACAATACATTTGTCTGTGTTTTTTTTTTTTTTTTTTTTTTTTTTATGTGTGTGTGTGTGTATGGGTGGGGGGGGGGCGTAAGTGCGTGTGCGTGCGTGTGCATGTGCGTGCGTGTGCGTGTGCATGTATGTGCGTGTGAGAGTGTGAGCATTTGTGAATGAGTGTTTTTCTTTGCATTTGATTTCTATGACTGTGTCTCTGTAAATAAGTGACTGGCAATGTTAATCCATGTGTAAGTATGTGGTGTTTTGTGTATGTGCATTCTAATATCCTTTTCAATATACTTGTTTGTAGGTGCTTGTGGGCATGTCCTGAATGCATGAAAGTGTGCTGCGTAAGTGTTTTTGCAATAGAGTAATAATAATCTATGACTTAAACTTAATAGGACCGTCCCTCTGTTGAGTGGGGGTAGTTGGGTCTGGGGGGGGGGGGGGTTGGATTTGCTGAAAATGAGTTATATCCATTTTCACACTCAAATACAAATGTAGAACTACCCACATGAATATAAACCTCCACAAAAAAAAAAAAAGTCAGCAGGTGAGCAGGGTTCATGAATCCAAGGCACTTCATGTGACATCGGCAATTTATACTCATACATGTTTATCCCCTTCTGGAGCTAAAATATAACATTATATTTTGACATTACATATTGAAATTAAAGTGTCTTACAACAACAAATTTCTCCCAATGTGGTTTTAAGATTGAAAGAAAAAAGAAAAAAGAAAGAAAGAAAGAAAGAAAAAAACTCAAACAACTTTTCATGATTTTTTTAAAAAGTGGTATATATGATTTGATTTTGACATAAATGACATGTAATAACTTTACAGTTCGACAATAATGTCTGAGAAATGGTAGTCTCTATCTTAAAAAATAAACAAATGCGACTTGTGTGATCTGATCGGTAGGTTGACCATTTGGTCCCCGTGGCTGCATGGGGCCCCCCCAAAAGTTTTCATGTTTGTGCTACCCAGTAAGACTTTGCACACAGTAAAGATTTTACACTTTTATGTTCATTGGAGCGCAAATAATCAAGAAAATGCATTATAGTAAAATATAGCTAAATTTAGATAAATATAAATTACTGAAGAATATAAAGACTAAAAATCTTATATAAAATGTTAAATACCTCTATAAACTCATTTGGCCTATAAATAATTGGTTTGTGCTGTTACATCAAGAAAAAAAACATCCATGGGCAACAAACTGTGGTGAGTTTATATTTCAAAATGTGAATGCTTTCTAAACGGTTACTTCCAATGAATTAAAGTAACAATTCAAGGTCACTCAGTGACTACAAACCACTTGTTACTGGTATCTCTGCTATTTTGTACACAAGTGCACACATGTACACACATTAGAGACATGCATACATATTTACACATACATATACACACATTTACATACACATGTACACACATTTACCCACACAAGTACACGTTTGTATGTTTTTAAACATAAGTGCACATACATGTACACATATGTACACAACTGTATGTGTACACCCATATACATATGTATGCATATATAAGCACATGTAGATGCTATAAAACACAAACACAAGTGGTCTGAGTCAAGCAATAACTGCATGCATCTTGTTGAGGAGAGCATATACAGAGGTACCATTTTAGTTTATACTGTAACTCAGGAACCAATCAAGGCTTCTTCATGTAACAAATGGCATTAGAAAGAAAAATGTCTGTTGTTTTCTAGTTATTTAGATAATAAGTTTTCATGGAAGGAAAGATTAAGAAAATGAACAGAAATATTCACAATTTTCATCTTTCTTTTCCTTACACAGAAATTTTTAAGAATCTGTACTGCTATTCTCAAACATTTTACATCCGATGTAATGGAAAAGTGCAGAAATTGACTTTGAGGATTTTTTATTTTTACTTCCATTTATTTTTGGTGAATTTAAAAAAATTGAGCTATATACATGGCTGTAACTATTCTCAAACATTTTACATCCGATGTAATGGAAAAGTGCAGAAATTGACTTTGAGGATTTTTTATTTTTACTTCCATTTATTTTTGGTGAATTTTAAAAAATTGAGCTATATACATGGCTTCTCCTTTGTACAGAGACTTAATGTACATACATGTTTACGCATAGATGTACACCCATTTATCCAAATGTACTCAAATAAGTACAAAGTGTACATGTATGTACACATGTGTGCATGTTTGTGTTTATGTGTGCACATATGTATACATGTGGATATATACTTCCATACAGACAAGCACAAGCTTATTAACACTTGTACATGTATGAAAACATTAATATAAATGGTCTGATACTCACAATAACCTTGTTTCTAGATTGGGTCATGTTCAAAAATTGAATTTTTCTACTTTGTGGAGGGGTGACTTTTGAAAATTTGTTATAGTGTGGGAGCCAATCTCCATATCTTAAAACAAGCATCATTTGAAAGAGAAATTAATGTAGTTTCTATGGTAATTAGATGATAAAAACTGCTTGAAGGAAATGAACAGAAAATAAACTAAAACATTGCCAACTCTTTCTTTGTATATGGAAAAGAAAGAAAAAAAACTGATCTCCCGTACCACTATTTGCGAACAATTCTTATTTGAAGTTTTTTCATTTTGGCCCCAAACTTTTTTGGGGGCAAATTTTTTGGAAAAAAAGTCTGATTATTATTATTATTATTATTATTATTATTATCTAATGTCAATCTCTTTACATTTTATCAATGTTGATGCTATTTTTTTTATTGCAAAGTATGCAACACTGAGCCAATGCCAGTGCACAAGAGATGTTTATGGGGAAAAAATTTTTGAGGGGGGTATTGCCCCTCTTTGTGGAATCTCCACAATTTAGTACCAAATGTTGTGAAATGCTAAAACGAAAAAAAAAATCTAAATGTGAAGAAAATCAATTTTAGAGTTTTGTTTTTATTAGTATTTTTAAAATTTACCCTGCTTCACCCCGCCATTTTTACCCAACCCCCACCACTTTGAGGGACCATTCCCTTAAAAAAATATATCTAGCAATTCTGAATAATAATAACAATGATATTAAAATTCTTGAAATTCATTTCTCATGCAAAGGCTCACCTGTTGTCTCTGGATCCACACAAAATATTTTCACATGTGAACGTACATGAGCATGGAACTTGGAAATAGTGTTGAAAAGTGCTTTTGCCCATCCTATGTGAAGGACTGGGGTGGCAGAGCCCTCTTCCCATTCACAAATACCATCATAGAATTCAAGAAGGTAGGCAAAGCACTCCGGATCCTTAAGAATGGATCTTGCTGATATTCCAGAGCTTACAACTCGCATGATGTGCGGGATAAGTTCATTGGCAATCTCTAGGAATTCCTTGTAGATTTCTTCATCATCTCTAGAATAGTTGTAACTGGAAAAGAAGGAAAATCAGGTAGTATATAACGTAATTATATATAAACATATATATACATTAATACATATATACATGGATATATATGTATATGTATATATAAACATATGTATATGTATATGTGTATATGCATATAATATATGTATATTGTACATGCATAGATGTATGTGTATGCATATATATATACATATATATATTTGTGTAAATAAACATACATCCATATATGAGTATATATGCATACATATATATATGTATACCTATATACATATATATAGGAATACATGTGTTTATATAATGTATATATACATTGGTAAATTTATATACCTATATATATATGTATATATTTATCCCCTTGATGACGGGTGATTTTTTTTTTTTTTTTTTTTTTTTTTTTTGAACTCTATGCTCTGGAGATGAATGACAATGCGCCGACTTTGAATGCATGAGTTCGGTGCATCAGTCCGTATCACCGGCTCGCAGCGCTTTGAAGCACTGCTGAACACTAACAATCGAGCAGTTTGTTTTGACGCCTCTTGTTGTTGTTTTTTTTTTTTTTTTTTTTTAAGATTCGCGAAGCAGAGCCTCGCCCGGGCTATGCCTATTTGGGGAGCCCGGTGACGCCTTATGCATGACCCATTGGGAAGGGGATACGTATATGTATGTGTATATATATATATATACATATATATATATATGTATATGTGTATATGTACGTATATGTATACGTATGTATATACATGCATATACATTAATATGTATTCAGATAGATACATGCACTTGAATACATGTATATGTGTACTTCTGTTCAAACACATTTATACATATATATATGTATATATTTACATATCAATATGTGTATATACATATATATATGCAAATTCATGTATACATATATATATTCCAAATAAAAAAAAATATATATATATATATTATATACGTATATAATATATATATATTATTATAATGTTATATATGTTTCTATAAAAGTATGTACATGTATATATGCATATATGTATATGTATATATAAATATGCACACATATGCTTGTCTATATAGGTATATATATGTATATATAAATATGTCTATATGTACGTAAGTATATATACACATAAATGAATATATAAATACATATATAGAAATATACATATTTATCATATACAGTAAGTCCCCAACTTAAGAACATAATGGGGACCGAGAGGCTGTTTGTAAGTTGATTTGTTTGCATGTTGAAAGTCAGGTCTCCATTACCGTTTTTCCCATTGTTTTAAAGTTTTGTTTACATTAAGAATACCCGTAAATAAATCCCAATAAGTACAACATACCTTATATAGTACCAAACTCTGGAACTATATTCATGCCCGGGAAATATGAAGTTTGCTAGCATCTTTCAAACAATTTTTTGGACTTTAGTACTTAAGAATTTTTGTTTGTATATATGGAATGTTCATAAGTAGAATGTTCTTAAGTAGGGGACTATCTGTATACATATATCTTAACCCATTGCTGCCGGGGATGGCATGTACGTACATGCCATGCCCACTATGAGTCGACTTGTTTGATTGTTTTTACACATAGATGGCTACACTTGTACTAAGTATCCAATGAGCCAATTACGAGTACTGCCTGTCTCGCCTGTTCACCCTTTTCATCGTTTACGAAAATATTGAACATTATCCTAATTTGCTGGTAAAAATAACACTATCTATATTTATAGCACTAGTAAGAATACGTTTTTTCCGCCAATTCAAGGAAAGGTGAAATCAGGACTAGCAGACCCATCTATGGACAGAGATATTTCACAAAAATATAAAAAATGAGAACTGTATTTCCCCCATTTTTTGTTCATTTTCCCCGGCGGCAATGGGTTAAACATACAAAATTACACATACACACATGCACATAGACACACACATACACATATATAAACATATACGCAAATGCTGTTTTAAGAAAGAGTGTAATTGGTAGAACATAAATGACCAATAAGTGTATTGGTGTATTTTTGGACCTGGACCATTTCATCTTTCGTTTTCTTTAACCTAATGCAGCCGGGGAAAATGAAAAAAAATGGGGAAAATGCTGTGCCTATTTTCTATGTTCTTCGTGAAATGTCTGCCGATAGCTAGTGCCTGATTTGAAATGGAGGGAAAAACATATTTTTCACTAGTGCTATGAAAATTGATGGTGTTATTTTTATTATAAACATTATAATTTTTATGTTTTTTAACATTAATAACAGGAAAATAAGATAATGTAAAATATTTCGTACATCAAAGAAAAGGGTAAACAGGCGAGACGGGCAGTACTCGTAACTGGCTCATTGGGGAGTTAGTACAAGTGTTGCCATCTATGTGTAAAAACAATCAAACAAGTACTCGCGGTGGGCATAGCACGTATCTACACATCATACCCATCGGCATTGGGTTAAGTAAGTGATATCAAAACATGTAGTGTTACACATTGACGATGAAGTGCAATTTCCTGAAATTGTTTGTTATCAAAATGATAACACCTACGAAGATGAGGTGGCATTTCCCCCATTTTTCAACACAGCAAGTATCAAATATAGCTTAATATTTCTTGAAACTTGAAATTGCTTCATGCTTTAAAACTTTATGTATGGTAGCTTTACCAAATAAAATTCTTCAAATTTACTGATACTTTTTAAAATGGTTTTCATAGCTGCACCATCTAGCAATGGATAATCAAACTAATGGATTGACCATTTTTTCCCTTAACCCAATGACGCCGGGTGTACTAAAGGAAAATAAAACTCTACGCTCTGGCAAACAAAGGCAGCGCGCCGACTTTGAGCGCAGGAGTACGGGGCGTCAGCCCGAATCACTGGCTCGCCGCGCTTTGGCGCGCCGCCGGCTGGTTTGGCCGCACGCCACCTTTCGAGCGATTTGTTTACACGCGTATCGCCGTCACCCGGCGGCAAGGGGTTAACCAAACATTAAAACACTGATTCAGTTGACAAAAAGCATGATACATTATATTATTCATTATGGAACATTAGCTGAATGCAAAACTGCTATAAGGCTACAATGAATACGCAGATATTTTCACTTGTGTGTGTGTATGTGTATGTGTGTGTGTGTGTGTGTAGGGGGGGGGGGGGGTGCATGCGTGCATGCATGCAGGCATGTACGCATGCAGGCAGGCGTGTGTGTGCGTGTGCATGTGCGTAAATAGAACAGGATTTTAATATCACTCCATTTATCACTGGCACATACATAATTTATATTCTTGTATTTGTCAGTGTATGTCAAAGCTTTGATACATAACCTTAAAATGTTTACGAAAGAAATACTTATTTCTTGGGATGTAAAAAGTCCTCTAAACACTTGTTTGTTCACTCAGAACTTGAGTAGTTTGAAGAAAACAAAATCATGAAATTGTATATTTGATACTCTTTTAAGATAATGAATTCTTGAATATTCATTTTGTAGCAAATTCCTAATATGGGAAATCAGAGGTGAAAACAAGCTGCCAAGCTTGCATCATTTTTCAAGATGAGGGAAAGTAATTTCTCTCCCAGTGAAATAACCAGCGAGCTGGTTATCTCCCGCTCAATGGTATACAGGTGAATAAAGTGGGAGGCGGAAGAGGGCACCCTAACAACCACTCTCGTTCCAGATGCCCTTTCAGCTAAAATTTATATAACAGTAAAGAAAACAACTACATGCAGATGAGATTCATCACACAACGTTATCCAAGAGAGACTGAACAAACGACATTGCCAACATTGTTCCCAGTTTGCTCAGTGTGGAGAGTGCACAGGAAGCTCCATTGCTGGATGAGAAATAACGAGTGTAATCATTATCCTTTTTCAATTTGTTCATAAACTTAGTTAAAATTTTGATAGATATATGTTTATACATGACAGTGCCCTATATGTCGTATTTTATGTTCTGATTATCTATAATTATTTACATATTGACAGACCATATATCTATGAAACAGTGAGGAGTGGCCACGTGACTAATAATAAGTGGGGTGGATTTTCATGTTGATGAACTTGCTTAGAATGATGGGAGATTCAGTTTAGACAAATATTTTGAATTTGTTAGAAGAAATATTCCTCCTATTAGCAGTTTGCTAATCTTTGGCCCTTCCCAGAAACAAACATATTTATGCAAGACAACTGCCCAATACACATCCCATGGGCAGTTACAAAGTGGGTTGATGACCAAAACCACATCGAAGTCCTTCCATGGCCAAGCAAGGAATGTGACTCAAACCTGATGAAATTGTTATTAGAACTATGACTCTCCCCAGTATTGAACTTTTTCTATAATTACCATTCTTTTTTTTTTACAAATAAACCGACAGTAAAAAAAAAATATATATTCAAAATTAATAAGCATCCTACCAATTATTAAATTTACTGAATCCCCCAGCAAAGAAAAAAAATATATACATATGATTATTTATGCATGTGTATATTTAAATATATATTTTTTTCTGTTATGGTATTTTGCACAAAATGATTGTACATAAAATGTTTAGCAACTTCAGTTCCTCAGCACATACACAAATGAACACAGTTATTGTAACTCTACTACAGTTTTGCATTCAGTTGTTCTAAACTGATAACAAAGCATATTTTCTATTTATCAAATCTGTGTCTGGACTGGACAAATAACAAATCAGTCATTTTATCAATTCAAAAACATATGAAGATTATAAACTAAAACTGTACCATATTTACCTACTCCTACACATCTACTGTAAATGGATGTGCATTGACAAACAAAAGGAAATAATGACTGAATAAATGACAAAAGTTTTTTTTTTCTGACATTAGTTATCGTACAGCAAATTCATAGACTTTTGATATTAACTCTCTTTGGAACCACCCAGCTAGTAGTTCCTGGAGTTGAAATAAGCAAATGTGTATTTTCTCACTCAGCTGTTTGAATGTGTATGCAACTCCTCAGAAAAACGCCATGACGTATGGAATAATAATAGCAAAAACTATTGAGACTTTAGCATTA